GTTGTACTGTTTCTGGTTGCTACGTCTTCGTCTTGTCTACTGCGCTCCGTCATGGGTCCACCTGTGACGCGGTCGCGCACACATTCGGCTGATTCTCGGGCGGTTGCCCTCTCATCGGGAATAGATTCTGAAGTATCCGCTTCGGACAACCTCGCAAACGCCCCTGGCAGATCTGGACGACCGTGCTACTGTCCATGGACGTCACGCGAAAACTCTTCGCGACGCAGCGGTGCTAGCCATCGCTGAGGTGCGTAGCGATACGTAATGCCTGAAGTACCACCCGGCTGGCCGCACTATATGAAGGTAACTTCCACCCTCCTTTCCGACTTGAATTCTTCCTTTGCCGCTGTTGGTGCTCGCATTAACTCTCTCCCTGTTGTGGCCACACTAACCCCGGAGGGGCCGTTACCGAGAATAGTTTCTTTTACAGGATCCGGAGAGGATCCGATGCAGTTCTCTCTGTGGCTCCGCCGCCTTGAGGAGTCGATCCATGGCGGATGCGCTTCCACTGTCGCTGAACTGTCGCCACCAGAAGAGCCTATTTTCGTACAAGGTCACGTGTGGAGGTGTGGCACGAAAGAAGGTAGAGGAGCTCTCGGAACAGGAGCGCGACGATACAGTGCCGTCGTGGCTCATCTTAAGAACTCTTTTGAGGGACCTCAGCATCGCTACATGGCTCGTCAAAGTCTGGCTACGTGCCAGCAGCAACCAGGTGAGTCCTCTGCTACGTTTGCTAACGGCGTTGCCATCCTTTTACTTCGAACGAGCCCACCGCTGTTCAAGACTTCGTCTCAGGCCAGATAGAATGCAAAGACCGCGTCTGGAAGAGTTCGTAGCCGACTTCCGACGGACATCCGGTATACGTAAAGTTGAACAACCCCAGCCACCCTCCGGAGACGACCTGCTCCAACCGATCTATGCACACAGGTACCCTTCTCCCCACCGCGATGCGGCAGATAATGGGAACAGTTTGATTGTTGGTGTTTTTGCGATGAGCCCACTTGCGGGTGGGGATTCGCATGAGACTTTCACAGAGGCTGACCTCCTCGGTCCCTCTGAGGAGTCTATGGATATTGACGTTTCACCTCGTCTTGCTTCAGATGTTCCAGCGACTACGGCCACCGCAGGACCTCGTGCACGGACTCCATCTCCCGCGGTATCCTTCCGCGAGAGTTCGACCTCGCGCCGGCAGCGTTCCCATCACCGGGACCACTCGATCACCGCTGCCGTCACCCCCTCGGAAATTCGCCACCGTCCACCCTCTCCCGACGGCGGATGAAGCCTTGCCTCTGCAAACTCTGACCGTTTCGATGGAGCAGCTGTCAGTGGCGGGACCTCCGGCGCTTGACTCTATTCCCCTACCACCCTACGATCCCCCACCTCCTCCACCACCGCCCAAGGGGCTCCCATCCCTCATGGACCTAGAGATTCTTCCCCCACCACCACCACCTCCGGTGCTCCCTTCACGCGGAGCTCCTACTCGTGGTTCACGCGGAGCTCCTATTCGTGGTGGCACCTCTCGTGGGTCACCTCGCACCCGGGGTACTTCTCGCGGCCGGGGCTCGACCACGGCGCGGCCTGCCTCGTCGCGTCCGTCCTCATCGCACCAGACGTCTCCGTCGCCGTCTCAGGCGCGCCCGTCATCTTCACGCCAGGCGCGGACGTCCTCCTCCCACCCCCAGGCCTCTGACCCTTCTCCAGCTCGACGAGCCCGTTCTCCGAGATCAGTTGACCAGCGCCAAGACCGTGGCAAACGCCCGCGCCCTTTGTCCGCTCTCCCCCTTCCCCAGGTTAACACCAGCCAGCTTCCCCGCGACACACCCGACAATTATACTAATTATTTGTGTCGCCATCATCCCTGGGCGCGTTTCATCAATCCCCGCCCTGTGCACAAACTCAGGAACCCCCCGTTTATAGTGGTGAATAAGCTCAGCACAGAGCTTTACCGCCACTTGCCAGATTCAGGGTACTTGTCCGTCAGGTTCAATAAATCCCTTTTTCCTCAGGTGACTCTCCGCGACGACCGGCCACCCGCTGAAATACCCTTTCTCGAACTGCAGCACCTGGAGGACACCATCGCCTTCAGGTCTCGCTCACAGCAGACCATTAGCGACCTTTTGGCCGGCAGGTATGTCGACGAGGACGTTTCCAACGTCCCGCCGACGTCGGAAACGGCGCAC